GGAACAGGGGTGGACACACACACACACACACACTCTCTCCAGACTGTCACGTGGCTTGTTGCCGCCGTACTTGCACTACTCTGAGGAAGGCTACTTGCTGTCTTTCTCCCACGACCTCTGGGCTTCTGCTGCAGACATGCACCAACGCTACCGACGTGTCTCCCGTGCCCCCTGCCCCTCAGCAGCCGAGGCGGGCGGCGAAGCGTTAAAATTATATGCAGTGACCCTGCCTAGCAATTCCTGGTACAAGTACGAATAAAGAGACTGAAGAGACCGATTGTGCAAAAATGGCCTTGACGTAGCGGCCGCGGTCCATTGAGTAGATCTTGTTGCCCTTACCACTGCGACCTCCAGATTAAGACAATCTCTGGCAAGAGGCATGTCAAATAAAACGAAACTCCATCTGGATCTCCAACTCTCTAAATCTACGAGTTGCGTGCTCAGGACCGTACTTCGTCACTGTCTTGAATCTTGTGCAGCAGACACCCGACAGTGCCCTACACATAGGTGTACCGGAAGCAGCTTTGTAATGTAGCACTTGTCTTGCAAGTTGTGGAACACACAACGAACAGTGCCCACCGCGACAGAGGGAGCGATTTGGCGGACCAGGCACGTCTTCCTTCGCATTTCGCGATGACCCTTTGAAAACAGTGCAAACAAGCACCGGGCTGAAAACAACAAGCCAGGTGGCCAAAGCAATGCGGTTTTTGAAGGATCGATTCTGAGAAAGCAGAGAAAGACAGCTCCAAAAGGTTTGGCCGTAGCAAAAGGCAGAGCCGGGAACCTCTCACACAGAAGCCCCACCAAGTGCGGACCGCAGCCCAGCGGCATACCCCGATAGCGGGAACGATAGGATAGCTGGCGAGCAGGAGCAGGAGAGGCCCCGAGACGGAACGACACCTTGAGCCGCCAGGGCGGAGACAAGCGTGCCACACGCCGACATCGAAAGGACGGCAGGCTGCAGCAGCAACGGACGCCAAATGTGAGAGACGACTGAACCGCCCAGAACCACTGCATACCGCTGCACTGAAAGCGAGAGCCATCGAGGCCGGTGCCGCTCTTCTTCTGCTGGCTCTGAAACTTGAGCAGGTCAGGGTCGACCACGGCGCCTTGCGTCGCCATCCCATACTCCCGACGGGGTCTCATGCTGGCGGCTTGAAGCCTTCTGGGTCAATCATGAACTCCTCCGGGACGTCTGGATCTTGATCTTCCTGCAGGGTTTGATGGTCGATGGGAAGAGCCATGTGATTGCAATTATCGACCTGACCTCGTCTTGCTCGTCTTGCTCTGGTTCGTCCTCTTCCTCTCTGTCCTCTTCTTCTTGTTCCTGGTCCAGTTATGAGCTCAATGCAGGCACGAACGGTGCAGTCCCAAGTCCAACTTCATGGCACACACACATGCTGTGTTCCTGAGGTGGAGGAGGTTCCATCTCCTGCAAGACAGGCAGAAGTGCAAGTGCCAACAAGCCTTCCGCCACCCGGCCTCAGGATCTTCCATATCTGGTTGCGGAGGTGGGGGCGGTGGCGGAGGGGGCTCCTCCTCCTGGCACGAACTTTATGCACCTGCCTGCCATTCATTGGATTCCAGCCCGCATCTATAACAAGGACAACTACAACTACCTTCACTGAGTGATGCCTGACATATTGTAAACATACGAGCTATCGTCTTGCACGTGCTGCATGGTCACAAATGCACGAAATTCGTAAGTTGCTATGCAGAAAGGGTTAACTTCCAATCTGCCGTGATGAAACCGCTCAAGTCTTCACATCTGACAGTGGCAGGATTGAAAGCGGTGTCGGCAGTACCTCAATCTCTTCCTGCATGTTGGCTTCCTGCACTCGGATACGTGGCCTTAGAGCGCGCAGGATTCGTTGATGTTCGAAGTCGAACCCTCTGAAGACCGGTTTTTCAAATGTTTATGCACTGACGCACACTGAGCGTTTCGCAGAATCGCAAGCTTGATTGCCTCCTTTAGATCTTCGGCATTGCAGGCATCGCGACCTCGCAAGGCGTGCTTGCCAAGATGGCGCCTACACACGCCTCCGCAGCTCTTGGAAGCAGGGCACAAGAATCCAAGGGGTCGTGCCCTGCAGAGCAGCATGCGCTCGGGCAATTTTGACGGCAAAGACTTCCCCGCGGTGTCCTTTCTCACAGGAAACAACTACTGCAAGGTACGATCGTGCAATCAATGCCCATGTAGATTCATGTAGATGTGAATTCGTGGCAAGACCTCGAGTGCTTCTGGTCCTTCACATCCACCTCGACTAGCCTCGTCTGCCAAGCGCTGGAGCTGATCCGGACTGATTGTAACCTCCGAGCAGAGTCTGCAATCACATGAACATGGTCTGCAGCAAATCTACACTGCAGCACACCCAATATATTATGAGGATTCTAAGGCAATTGCTGTTGCCAAAGTTTCAAGCATCACATGATGCCATCGAGCATGGCGAGATACAAGTTCGGAGACGGAGACGGGTAGAAGACGGGGTTGGCTTATGCAGTGAGAGTGCCCCCCCCCCCCCACACACACACATACACACACTTGACATCAATGTGTCTCCAGGTCTCGACTCACATGAAAGCCACAAATCCTGGCTCGAAAGCACATCACTGTTCAAACATTGCGCAGCGAATATGATACACGATGTCGCATACGAGTATGGCAAGTATACCAGTGGTGACCAGCCGCTGCATCCACTCCAATGACTGAGTTTTTGGACAAGGCGGGCCACTGCCCTGCCTCCATGCTGACATCACTGCAATCCCAGACTCATTTTTATAACTTGCGCATCTGCAGACCGAACTCTTTGGAGCATGTGGAACGGGGTGGACATACACACGTCCAGATTGGGCTGCCTTTCAAAGAAGACGCGCTATAGACTATAGTTGTAGTTACACCGATCAAGTAGCAAGTGACATCACTAAGCAAACAGTCACTGCACAGGTCAGTCAATCCATGCACATCTCAGACAGACTACATGAATACATTGCATCCACTCCAAATGACGGCTTCGCTGGCAAAGGCTTGTCATTGAAGCCCTTGCCCCCTTCCTGACCTAAGCCTTTGGAATGGGGTGGACACACACACACACACGCACGCTTGGACACTCCCTCTCAAGAGAAACTACAGGTTGGTTGCAATGCAGGTACACAAATTGGCATCTCAATCTGATTCACGGAGTATCCGCAGCTGTCTTTGTTAGCAGCAGAACTGTGGACTCCCTGCTTCCCCTGCATGAAGAAACCCTTAGTGCACCGGGTGTGACACACACACACACACAGGTACTCCTTTTTTGTGGAGAGTACCTATCAGAAGTAAGAAACAATATGGACGGCTACTTGGGGTGATCATGATGGTTCGCAGTTCAAAGCCGCCGCCCTGTCACGATGCGGAGCAGCGGCAGATCAGAATCAAACGTGCTGATGCAGTTCAGGAAGGTTTTGAGCTGTCATCAGGAAGATTGAGAGCAGGTCATTACAAGCAAAATGTGATCTTCGTTAGATCAAGCGGCTACGCCCGGCCCTTTGACAGAATGCCGGTCGACAACACACTTGGACACTCCCTCTCAAGAGTAAGAAGAGGTTGGTTACACACATCGCCGCCTGGGCGGTATTTCCTGCTTCTCCAGTTCTTCAAATCGAGGTGTGGAGCCATGATCTTCTTGCCCGATGTCCGCGATCTTGGACAATAACCCGTTCACTACCTGGTCATACTGAGCAATCTGCGCCGAGTGAGCTTCACTGGCTTCGGCATGTGGTGCCGCCAATTGCTTCTTGACTGACTCTCGAACTTGATCTTCCGTGAAGTTCACGTCCTCGATGGCTAGGCCATTTCTTGAAGACCGTTCAACCGATGCATTAAAAGTAACAGGCATTCTCGCAGGTTGCGAGGAACCCTGGTCCCTGTCGGTCTGACACGGCATGAACGGCGATATGCATACATGATCAATTCAGGCAGGCGGCTTCCAAATTGCGGAGAACTTCGTCAGCTCCGAAACCAGGTCGGTTTTCCAGGATTCGGCCCAGGCAAATCCAGGCCCCGCTCCAGTGCCGTAGTCGGGGCCACCTCAACAGCCTTGGGTTTCTTCGCTTTGGGGCCCACGTCATCCTTCGGCTGGTCCCTTCGTGGGCCGTGACCAACAGACACGCCGTCCACTGGCGTCCGGCAGGTAGCGACGAACTGGTTTCCCCGCCCGATCACGGTAAATTCCGTCTGCTTCGCTTCTCCATCGGCTTGTTGGCCCAAGGACGGTGGCTGCTGATCATCTTCATCTTCTTTAGCAAAATTGATGGGGGGCCCTTTTCTGGCTCTTCTACATCCTTCGGAACTAGCACCACGTCCTCTGCATGCGCCTCGCAACGCTTGCCCGGTGCCTCCTGGGCCACCGGAGACCAACTCCAACTGAAGGCGGCTACCTTTGACCGAAATGATGCGCCAAGGTCCGGTCAGACCCGGCTTCCAAGGTACCCGTCCCGGCTTGGGCGAATCCCACAGCTCCTCGCGGACTCTTTCGTTAGGACCCATTTCGCAAGGACGGAGCGCCATACTAAACTGATGGTTCGCCCCCGGCCCCCAGCATCGCGGACAGTTCTGCCATCATCGCGTTCTTGAACTCAGATCCCCGACCCAAACGGATGAGCTTAGGCAGCGTCCTTGACCGTAAAATGCAGCGCAGGAATGCCTTTCTCACGTCTGCATCCGTCAGCGAACGCACCGGTTCAAGGAGAAGCGCGTAACTCAGACAGTCGAAATACGTGATGCTGTATCGGATGCCGTCTCGGTCCTCCCGATTTGGCCCCTCACAATCGACTGAGACTTCCTGCAGCAGGCTTCCGCTGAGCATTTCACAGCACCTTACTGGCCCTGGCACGGCCCTTCATGCAAGACAGGCGTTTGGAGACCCAGGGCTTCACGTCGCTCTCCATACTGGGCCACCATACCGCCCTTTCCAGGAGCCGGTACGTGACTTCTGCGGAGCGGTGAGCCCCGATGATGCCACAATGCACGGTCATGTAAGATGATTTCCGCCATGTCACGCCGTTTGGCCCGGCCCGGCAATTCCGCTAGGGACGACCGGGACCTGGACCACTTGGCCAGTCTTCAACGTCACTTCTTTTTCCAGCACTCCGTCGCTGCCAAGGCCGAAAGGCTTTTCAGGCCTCTTGAGAGGGCCTGCAAGCGACGGGTCACGTCGCTGAGCCTCGTGCCACGCAGTGCGAATCGCTGGGGTCATTGAGACTCACAAAGCCCGCGCCACCCCTCGCTGAGGCCAAAGTCTCACGAAGCCCTTTGACGCTAGGTCCGGGCTCTCTCTGACCTTCGCCTGGTCGCCAGACCCGGCCGACCCGAAGCTGAGAGTGCGAGCACTCCGAGAGACCCTGAGTCTGCAAACACTGGGTCTGCCCTCCTTTCCTGATAAGGCCGATGCTCCGAGCAAAAAGCTCCAGGACGACTCTCGGGCCCTTCACAGGTGTCCCGACGAAGGCGAGAACCCTCGCTGGCCGTCTCGTCCACGACGATTTTCTTCGCAAGGAAAAGCGGCGACCAGTGCCCTGGTCCGCCGTACGAGACGAACGCAGCCAGCACATTAGCGGCTTGGAGAGACTTACGATGCCCCAAGGACTGTTGTTCATCGTCCTCGTCGTCCCATCCTTCCACTCGGTCGACTTCGCCCTTGAGCCCCATTTGGGCAGAGAATTCTTCGGTCAAACTTGCCTCAGGGCAAGCGGAAAACCAAAGTTTCTGCATTCACAACGTGCCGATGCCCGTGCCAGTTTGGCTCCGAAGACTAGTGCAAAGTAGCGGTCATGCCATGACCCGCCGGGAAGGATTGGTGGCCTATGACCACTTCGCCTGAGCTGTTCACAACCCGTGAAGACACAGTAGGCCACCGTCTGTGACTTCAGACCTGAAGGTCAGGTCGCCCCCAGCTCCATAAACCGTCGGGAGGGATCCCTGATCCCTGCACGGGCCTAGACTGAAACCCAAAAGCCCACGCGCTGGTCACAGTTCCGAGTCGAGGCTCAGAGCCCCGAGATTCCGGGCGGCAAGCACTCCGTTTACCTCCAAGGAAACTCCCGGCTCTGGAGACCCCAGATCCTCCTGAGACTCCTTCGCGGCTGCAGCTTCAGCCACTTCCAGGGCCGTCTCTTCGGCTTCTTGGCAGACGCAGGAAGGGCATCGCGAAAACAGATACAAGTCCGTTTTCCGCAAGCGCAGATGCCTTCGTGGTCGTCCCTCTTGCCTGGCCACAGTTCGCGCCACTATCTCTCTGCACTGTCGAACTTTGTAAGCAAGTCACGGGAATTCCTCGGCTCACGATCTCTTGGTCTTCTTGGTGAACTTGACTACTCTTTCGTAGTCTGTTTGACTGATCTGGATGCCCTCCGATCTGTGTTCCTCGAAGCTGACACACGGATTGGTGTCCCAATCTGCTTCACGGAGTATCCACAGCTGTCTGCGTTGGCAGCAGAACTGTGGACTCCCTGCTGCCGCCTGCATGACAAACCCTAGTGGCCCTATATAGTGCACAGGGCGTGACAAACACATTCTCACAGACACGCACACACATAAATCAAAAACACAAGACGCCTAAGATTATTGCTTGCCAAAGATGTAGAAAGATAAGCTCTGCTGGAGCAATGGAGCGGGATCTTGGTCCAAAAGCCCCAAGAGGAATTCAGGGATGTGAACATCAGTTGACCTTTCAGAAACGCATTGCCACTCGTCGGCTCGTTTCCGCGCTGTTTCATGTCGGACTTCAATGCCGAAGCAACAAGGGTTTGCTTCAGCTTCGCAACATGTTGGGGCTGAAGCAAGCAACTGCCAGCAGCAACTGGAGACAGGAAAGTCCCGGGCATCATTGAGGAATTCACGCGCAAACAGTAGCTGTGTCCTTGGTCAAACATTCGCCGACAGAACTTGGTTTTGGCGTTGTTGGCAGACTGCCGGCTAAGGGTTCAGCTGCATGGCAGAAATGTCTGCACTGCTCTCTTCCAGTGATTGTGCTGGCCTGCAACTTAACAAACCATTGCTTAAGGTTCGCGAACTGTGGTAGAACCAGAGACTCCGCCTCTCGGCAAAGTCGAGAGCTGCATTTGCAGCACTAACGCGCTCATCGAGGTCGGTGTAAACTGTGTCGATGTCCGTGTTCAACCTAGCAGGACAGTGTCGAGTGGAGCGTCAATTAACTCGATGTGCAAAAAGCACAGGCATGCGCAGAAAACACAGCGCAAGAAGATCGAGGTTTCAACGAGACCGCCAGGCGATCCAAGAGATGCGGCCGCAGCGGACCTGCCACACGGCTACGGCGACCGCTAGGCACCGAGTCAAAACAGTTGGGCGTGGGTCTGTGCCTTCCTCCGGGTTCCACGTAGCCACAACGAGCGGGCGACAAGGATGAGCCTCAGTTACAACTCTTCCACACAAGACGGCTGGACATTAGTACTGAGCAATGGTCTCCGAAAACGTGCTTTAAGTGCTGGCACCGTGTTGTGATGAATTGTTCTAAAGCTAAAGAGATGCTCCAGGGTCTCACAAAAAACCTTCCAGGATCCTCCAGGTACATGGTCAGATTGTGGTTGCATCTCAGCGCCACCGCTCCAGACTTCGCAGTTCCGTCCGCAACGGCACAACGTAGGCTCAACGGCAAGGTTTTCTTGGAGGGAGCAAGCAGGATTCTGTTGCGGGATTCGCATCCACCGTACGACAGCAAGCTCCACTGCAGCTTCGACTATCATCGCTGCCGTGCAGACGGTGGAACTTGCGCCTGAATCAATGCTGCCCAAGATTCAGCCACGACTTCTAGTTTGTGCGCACACGAAGGACAGCCCGGAGGTGCAGTCGAGGGTTAACATGGCCGTCTGTTACGTTCAATGCGAAGTGTTGACCCCCAGGCATTCCGCCCAACGAACTCTCTGGCCCTCAAAGCAACCCGGATGCTGAGACCGGAATCACAGGACATGGCCCGGCTTTGCTGGCACCTTGCTCATGTGTCGGATGATAGGATCAGGGTGGAAGACAAGCCACCAAGTGAGCTTGTCGCTCCGCTCCCTTGTGCAATGCCCATACCACGGTGCTCACCGTGCAGTTTTATGTGATGAATGAGCGTGTCCTGGGACGTGTGCGGCTGTCTCTCCGACCCGAATACATAAGGACCGAAGATGCTGCAAAGGAGAATGGCTTGTTCCGTTCGGCTCGGTTTGTATTGGGTGCTTTTTGATTGTTGAGCATGCTCAAAAGCAGGCGATCCGCCAATTGGCGGTTCGTCCTTTCATCGAACAGATCCGGGTACGTGGCTCTGTTGCCCGTCGGTACAGCAGAGCATGAACATGCACAAATAGGGGTTGGGATAGTTTGGCTTTTTTGAACAGGATGTGTGATTTGGGCTTTGGATGGCTTTGGGGTTTACAGTTGGGGGCTCCTCCTCCTCCTTGTCCTTGGTACTACCACTCCAGCTGTCTAGTGCGGGCTGCTTTTGCAATCAGTGATCAGGGTGTGCTTTGCAGTCTCCTAAGCCGACCACATGTGCTGTTACATGGGTCTGGCTGAGCATGTCTCAGGCAGGGTCGCACACTTGCCTGGTGCAGGCCTACATGCTATTGTCTGCTGTAGTGCTCGGATTATGAAAGCTCAGCATGTGAATCTGGGGTATCTGTGACCACTGGTAAATGATGCTTCGAACACTTCGCATGTCGCTCGCCTGGCATCACTATAGGTATCTTTGGCGGTGCTGAACAACCAGTAGTCGAGCGACACGACAACACGAACAAGTGTCTCCGCGAGACTTCCTGCCATGTGTAGAGAGAAAGTCTGATAAAGTATGCACCTGCAAGTGACAGCAGCAGGCGTGTGGCTACACTGAGAGATGGTCTGCATTTGGGTGAGGGCGAGCAAGTGCAGAAGGAGCAGCGGTTCAGCCCCATCTTCCACGGGCAATGGCTGTGCTTGCAACAAGCTCTGGACAAAATTTAAGAAAATCCAAGTGGGGCAAGAGCGAGGACTCATATGCAATGCGTGTTGCCGAAATAGTATTTTCTCATCTCCCTGCATTTGCACTGATCACGTTCCAAACAATGCATGCACATGTGCACACCTTCCAGAGGAGAAAGCCTACACTTCCACTTCCTCTTCTCAGCATCGCGTCGAGAAACCGGCGTGAATACAGCGTGCCCTCTTCTGCAACACGAATGCCGCATCATTACGCGACGTCTGAAACATCAATCCCACCAGCAGATTCGCACATCGCCGTGATCATCCAAGCGTACAAAATGTGACAAGGCAACGAACATTTGAAACCACTGTTCCAAGGCATCCGGCGCTTGCGCAGTGCAGACAAGATGAGAGCATGTACTAGATTAAGCAAGTTGGGCTTGATTGGATCACCGAAACACTCTGGCAGGCAGTGCGCTGAGAAGCTGACACCAAACAACATTCAAGATGGAAGTGGTCAACTTTGGCTCGGATAGCACAGCTCGATTGGATTGCCAACGAGAAGTTCAACCACGCACGAGTGATTCGCAGACCACATGGAATGAACTTGAATCATGTTCTAAGCTGCTGGCCACCGAAAGGCCCTCTCGCTCAACTCGGTTCACTCCGCTTTCGACCGCCTCGTGAAAATCGAAAATCTTGCGCAGAGACTGCATGCAACAACTTTCCGAGTCAAGCACCGTGAGAAGCAAGCTCACGAGGTCATCCTCAGTGCATAAACCCTCTTGCACGGCACGTCAAGTTTGTGGGTCCCAAGGGGCCTGAAGAAGGTTGACGTCGTCGATGTACAGCACACCCCGATGGGCCTTCGCAAGCCTCGGCCAGAGGACCCGAGGACATGACGGATGTACTCGGCGGTGGACGAGGCGCTTGCAAACCTGGCTCAAAAATCGGCCGTCCGGCTTCCATGGATGCCTGCAGTATACTTCTTTCAGATGCAGTACAGCTGTGGTTGAGGGGGGCTTTGGTCACCACAAGCCTGGACGTCCAATGAGCCAACCAGACGATCTTCGGTGCAACCTAGAGGCCTCGAGACGAGCATTCCAGCGGCAGCAAGAGCTCATGACTATTGGCATGATGATCTGCTCAGCGCTGGTAACTTAAGCCAGAGCATCTTGACTTAGCAAGCGGTGCAGCGATGATCTCGCTTTAAGGCACCTGGTGCTTAAGCGCATTCAGCCGCTGCCTGGGTTCCTGGCAGTTCGATAAATGGGCAATCGATCACTTTGGTCGCCACATCACCCTGGTTGAATCATCTGCTCCCGAGGACAGTAATGCCAAGGAGTGCTATCCTTCAGAAGGCACACCTTGTCGTCGCGCTCTAGCCGTTCGCGAGTCAATCTGTCCCACCTGCAACAGGAGTTAGACACAGCATGAACCCTCCTTACAGGTGTGCTTCATGGCAGACACAAGCTGGAAAGCTGCATGCCCAAGGCTCAGACGGCAAGTAAACATGAGGCTCGAACTCTGATGGCTTGCTCGGATCGCAGTTGCAAATCGAGTTTGTGACAACCTGCGGCGGGGAAACCTGGCTGTCGGCTCTAGGCTCTCCTCGTCCTGCCTCAATTTTGGGGAGAACTCCTCGTAGTGAGCGGGCCAACGTCCTGCGTTGCTCTTGCAGTCACCCGCTGACCTCTTCCATCAGCACTGAGGTTCCAACGTTTTTCCAGTCCCGTGGCCACCGGAGATTCCTCCCACATGATACTAGGAGTGGAAACGGCAAAACACTGGGCTCCCAACAGCTGCCAGTGCACTGCAGGACAGGACGACCAGGGAACAGACTTTCTTTAATGGCTTGCTGCCACCCGTCATGCTTCGGCTGTTGCTAACTAAGTTGCTGTCATTGCCATCCATAGCTCTGTCTGTCTTATGTGGGAAGCATGCTGCGAGCAAGATGCAAGCTGCAGCTTGCTGTGACACCACTGCACAACCCGAATCCAGCCCCGCCGAGCTCAATCTTAAGTTGCTCCATTTCGCAAATTACGAAGAGATGCCGGTGGCCAAGGAACATTCTGCCCGCCGTTTTCTGAAAACTGTGCTGAGTTGAATGCAAACCACTATCCTCACTTCAGTGATTGGACGTCTAGACTGCGCCATCTCCCCCCCTACATCATGCCAAAGGCTCAAACAGAGATCAACATCTTGAAATAGTCTCGTAGGCAAGCACAGCCTACGCCGCCAAGTGAGGGATCGATACAAGCCTGAATTGCCAGTGCGTGCCAGCGAGAGCCGAGGACACAAACATAGCGCATTGCGTAAGAAGCGCACCAGCTTTAGAGCAAGCTTCACCTCCTCCAAGCCCTCCACCCTTGTCATTGGTATGACCTCAACTTAAAGCCGAACTTAGATCGAAAGTAGACAAGGCAACGACACATCGGGCCAAGACCATTCCCCGTCCCATGGAATCAGCCTGGCACATTCAGTGATATCAGTTGCACCTGACACCCTGTGCAGATCGGGTGCATGCGTCTTGAGAATGGTGCACGGCGGAATCAGAGAAGCGTGCAGGCCTGCGCCGTTTCAACTCGGTCATCTACCGCAGCGGCTCGGACCTGCAATGCACACAAGTGAAGACGCTCCGAGGGCACAAACAAAGCCCTGCTTAAGATTCTTGGGGATTGGTGTGCTGGACTGCACGTGATTTCACGATGTGATCTCGTATTCCATGCTCCCGCGCGGCTCTAGCCAGCATACACCTTTCAGGTTGAGTGGATTCCTTTTGCTCGAAAGTCCGAAATCATGCTCTGACACACTCTCGCCTCGAACAAGACAGATTAGGGGCCCTCAACTCCAAAACGATCGCTGTTGCAGCTCTCTTGGAGCGAGAGTTTTGCTGAGGCAGCTCATGGAGCTTCGTTATCGACGTGACGGTATGCGACGCCTTCAGACAGCCAGACTCCCCCAGCTGCATTCCCACCAGCTCCATTGTTAAACGACTCCAGCTGTATATAACGCGGCAAGCCTGTGTGGTTTGCCTCAGCCGAGCCATTTCTGCACTTCTAGGATAGATCTGATTGCCGCCGGGCTTTGTGCTCGCGAGGTTGCCGAAACGATGAGCATTGTCCACGATAAATGTGTGCTGTTGCTGTGCCATCCTGAAGATGCTTGCAGACGCGAGGACTCGGAGCCACGTAATCCACGTTGCTCTGCATGAGCAGCTCATCGTCGCAATGCGACGCTCGTTACATTGTTGAAAGAATGTTCGTTTAGTCCGGTAACTGCATGAGATAGCTCCATTTCAGGAAGTGTGGTCTCCACGACATTACGTTACGAGCTTGTGTGCGAAGCTCTACGTCTGTGCAAGAATTCGCAGAAGCAGCCATGAAATTTTGAAAGGACACAAATATTCCAAGGCTACAATTATCGGGCCTGCAAGGCTGCAGCTCTCGGCGGCCCTTTCTTCGCCTCAAGCCACAGCAAACAAGCAACGGACACCAAGGCATCATGTCTAGGAATTGGACAGGTGCCCTGGCGCATTCAACGTCTCTGTTCCCATCACAGAGCTACAGATCCACGAATGCTTTCAACCTCAGCAACATCCTGTCCCAACCCGGGAATCTCTAAGGACCCGCACAGTCGCTGCCCGAGGCTCCACTCGCCTGCAGCGGGCGAGGCTTCAGACAAAGCTGCTTGCAGAAGCGCAAATTGCTTTTAAAAGAAAAGCTTACGCTGAGTTGGCCTCTTGACCATGATACCTGCTGCCAAGACGGCCGCGGTGGCTGTAAGAGGTGATGCTGAGCCTCGGTTTCAATTCTGCACGGCCGTTGTCCACACAGCTGACAGGTTTGTCAGAAGCATCTGATTGAGGCTCGTCACAACCCTTAATTACAACCTGCGTCCCCCGGAGGCACCTCGATCCGTGATCTCGTGCCGTGAACGCTCAGGCTTTGAGGCAAGCCTGCGCAAGCATAGACAGGTGCCCGTTCGTGTAAACCAGCCATTGCTTCATTTATCCTTCTTGCGCCTATGGCACATGATCAGAAGTACTCTCTGCCACCTCTGGCTGCGGTATTGGCTTCGAGCTTTCGTGCTCAAACTTTCTCGCACTTGCCGAAGACGCCGAAGTATGAACGAAAAGTAACAAAGAGCATGTTAGCGTTCTCGTCCCATCTCCCTGTCCTCACGTCCAGTGTTGACAGAGTACTATCGCTGCAGTTGGTTCTTTGTTGGCCCTCCGACGTTCGGTGGCAATTTTCTCCTGCAGTTCGAAGATGGAGGGTGCATGTTTGAGGGTCGAGAGAACTCCTTGCAGGCACAGCCCTCATCACCTCCAATTTTGCAAAGTGCTGTTGTGGAAATTGCAAAATGCTGTCAGCCTACAAGCGAGCAACAATAAAGCATTAACGCATTCCAGTGACCAGCTCCAGCAAAGATCAAATTTCAAGGCGTGTGATGTGCTGGAACTGTTCAGCAAGCTGGGATCACCTGTAGTTTGCTTTGCCTGGTCGACCCTGGCGTTGTGTGCGGTGCAGAAACGGGGGGACAGTTGGGTTCGCTACTGGTATTGGCTATCCAGTGTTCATCCCACGTCTATGTGTGAACGAGTGGCTCTACAAGCTGCTAAAAGGGGTTCGTATGCAGCGGTTCCCACGAAAAGAGTTGGATCGTTCCTTCTCACCCGCTGGCCCTGCAGTAGAGCATGGTTTCGTGAAAATGTGGCAGTGCACTTGCCTGGCAAGTGGCAACGGTGCCACCCCCAGACTGAACGCCTCATCGCAGGTCAGCTGGAAACTGGTAGGTCGATGTGCATGAATGCCAAGATGAAACAGTCCACTAGGGAAAGTGACAGAGAACTGACAGACTTTGCTGCAGACTATTTCGGCAGCTGCTTCAACGTGCTGCAACAGGCTGAGACAATCCGCCAAGTTTAAGTTTCGCAAAACGTACTCAACGCCTCGGCATTGAGGACTGCCATGGCAACGCGCAGAATGTAATCTACCAAGAAAGACTGAGAAATGACAGGCAAATCAATCACTCATGAGTCTATAACTCGCTTGCTCTGCACCCCGATGCCAAGAAATAGTAAACAACCCACCGCGTGCTGCGGAGTACGCTGGGACGCCAAAGGTTCGAGAGGCTGAGGTGAGCAGCTGCGGAACTCAGTATGATGCAACACAAGCTCGGAAGGACTGCACATGGAAGCACAAGGTGTTTGCAAGCAATCGGAGAGCGCATCAAGCCGAGCACGCTTTTTGCAAATTAACCATGCCATCAATTCATATCGAGAACAACTATTGGCAATTGGCATATGCACTAAGTGCATGCCGAAAGATGGATGACCTGATGCTTTTTCGCAGGCCTTGGCAATCTAGCATATCTGAATTCGTCTAGAATTTCGTGAGACTTGGCGCTGGTGCCTATTACGGAGTTTCATTCGTTCTCTGTCAAGAACAAAGCTGCGGCGTTGAGCTTGCGCTGGCGAGCGCTGTCTGTACTCAGTTCAACCTGATGCAATGGAAATTATCCACAGGACACCAACTCGGCTTCCACACGCAGTCAATCCAAAGACTAGCTGAGAACGAGAATCACATTGAACCTCAATCTACAGCAAGCATCTGAACCTACTATAAACTGTTAGTCATGTTAGTCTTATGCCTCTTCGGATTGACACCCCACTGTGTCTGGATTCTGAACGACAGAGTCAGTGTGAAGTGCGCCGCAGCGGTCTTAGTCGACCTTAAAGCACATAAAGCACTAGCACTAGTAACTACAGTAGTCACGTTTGCTTGATGCTGCTTGACCTAATCTTCCGGAAGGCCTCCGCAATCAGCCGCTCTCGAGTAAGAGAAGCATATACCGGCCTCGCAGCAACACGCAGGACCCAGGCCACAAGCATCCACAAGCAAGCCAGACATTCAACTGGATGCCCAAGTGCAAACTGCTGAGGTCCAGGCAAAGAGATGGTGCCAGCTGCACGAGCTGATGAAGCCGTGCGTTCAGGATGCGTAGCTCTTGACATCCAAGCTATTGTCATTGGTGGCAGCATAGATACCAACGGGGAGTTGCGCTGACCTTCTATGAGCATCCGCTTGGATTCGTCAAAGGCACATCCTTCGAGAATCAGCTCCTGTACTGTGACTGGAAGCGGGGAAGACTCATCGCTGAGAAGGTGCGGCTCGAAAGTGGAAACTAGGTGTAGACTGTCGATGGAGATGGCCAACCTCCTTGCGGTCTCCTGCCGCAGGGCGTTTAGAAAAACATCAGGCCGCAGGAAGTCACTCAGGCAAATGGGCTGTGAAAGAATAGTCTGCGACTGCACACGTCGTACCCATTCACCTTTCAGTGATGCAATGCGCTTTGCCAAACCTTGCAGGTACAGCGAAGGGTCTTCAGGTGCAGACGGCCAGGTCACCGACCAAGATTCCGGCACTTCTCCCCGAATCAAAGCCCTGGCTTGCACTTGCAAGTCTGGTGTACTCAAGGCCTGTCCATTCACAACACGCTGCAAGGTGGACAAGGCTGCCGTAACAACCTCTCCCAGTCTCGATGCTTCAGCAGCATCCATCAAAATAAATGCAATAGAAGGCGGGTCATCTGGGCGAACTGCACGAATCTCAACTCCTCTGAGCTTGCTTAGGTGACCCGTGTTCATGTTGTCCCAAATCGTGAACAAGGGGGCAAGCTGTGTTTTCCAGACTTTAATGTCAACCGCAGCGGCAGCTGCATCACCAGCATCTCCTCCACTCGTGGCCAGTTGACGTAGCAGAGAAATCGCCTTGGCAGAGTTGATGCGCTGCAACGAACGGTCTGCATTGGGTGCCATTCCGAAGGACGCAGGATTGTCAAGATCAGGAAGCTGCTCCACGCGTGCACGGAAGTCCCCCATGTTGGTTGACACAGGGATGTCGAATGGGGGAATCTCCACGAGCCCTGCCTTGCGCCAACCACCTTCCAATGTTTCGGACTTGAAAAACATTGCCAAGTATTCCCGTACCAAGCGGGAGTCGAACTCGTTGTCCACTCGACTTCCATAAACGGCCTGCTCCAGGACTCCAATCAATGTCACCCAGTCTATGCCGAGTGCCCCGGGACTGGACTGCTTGAACACTTCTCCGGACTTCACCAGCAGGGAAACAGTCTCGCACGCGCTCTGCAAATCACTCTGGGAAAACTCATAGAATTTTGTCCATCCCTGTGGGATGTAAGTTCGTCGCTCTTGCATTATCGCATGAAAGTGGGCACAAAGGAAAATCACCCTGGACCTCAAGTCGTTCCCCTGCGCAAACCAGTGATGATTCCAAGATTCAAGCGTTCGTAGCACATTCTTCTTCACCCCAGGAGGTGCCTCATAGGTGACCTTCAGCGATGTTTCCAACAAAATTGTTGGGAATTTAGCATGCGCTTCGGTAGTCAGCCAGCAGCGGAAGTTCTCGTGCGGTTGCAAGCTTTTGAACTCCTTCTCTAGCAGCGGGACCCAGCTGATTACCAAATGAAGATTTTTCAAACAAACCCAGTCACCAACATTTGCAGCATCACGCAGGAGCCTGATCGCATCGTCATTTTGCCCACCTCCCATAGCAAGTTGGTGGAAATTCATGCTGGGCGCAGATTCGGCGGCATGCATCTTTGCAAACTCTTCAAGCTCCGCAGAAGGGTCTGCCCCCGGCGTGGTCACGAAGAGTACGGGAAGCTTGTTGCTCGTCTCCTCCTTGTAGAGCCGATTCAAGCTGAGAGCCGGCGGCGAAAGCGACGAGACACCAAGAGCCTCGCACGCGAACTGTGTCAGAGCAGACTCAAGCCGGTCAGGTCGCACAGCTTGTATAAGAAGAACCCGTTGAAATGCTGACATTCGTGAGTAGACGGACCCGTCAAAAGTCTCCTCACACTTGTCAGACGCCACCCAAGGAGCCCACAACGCATCTTTGTTCAGCTGCCAGTGCTCATCAATCTTTGGGAAAGTCGCACGCAGAGTCTGGAGTGCCTGTGCTCGGTCCTGAGGACACCAGCCAGGAGCTGGTACTGGCGGCTGGTTGGCCGGAATGTATACTCCCTGAAAGAGCTCCCATTCGTTCGCCTCGAACTTCTCAGGCATTATGCCCCGGACCATGTGAATGCCAAACGTCAGCCTGTCGGCCTTGAACAGTGAGCGTGAAATGTAGAACAGCACAACGATCTTCAACTGGTTTCCCAGCTGCCTCAGCTTGTCGTCCGTCGTCTCAGAACCCAATTGCAGGTTAAGCACTTTGTTGAATAGAGCCATGAAGGCCTCCAGAGAGAATCGATACATGTGGTCGATGACGGAAAGCTCCTTGACGAGAATGAAGATTCGAGAGCCCAATGTGGCAAGCGGACGATACACCTCACGCTGCTGATCAAGGTCCATTTGCAGGCGGGATGACTCCGTCAAAGACTCTGAGATTGTGATGGCAGCAGCCTTTGTCTGCTCGAGAGACTGAATAAGTGGCTCGTTCTCAAGAATGTTGCCGCTGGAGTCGGCAAGTTGCTCTAGTAGTGTCTTCTCAAGACCAGAAAGCTCTACCTTCAAAGCTTCTTCCTTCTGCAAGAGTTCTGATTTGCGGTGTTCAAGCTCGGGCTTTTCGTGCTGCAAGGTCACGCCCAACAACTGACCTTCCAGTCCAGCACGCGTCACGGTGAAGTTCACGCGCGTCACAAGGCAGGCCGTGTTGGGGGGCAGCATCTCGATCGCGCTTGAATTCCTTGTGCACAGGAAGAGCCGGAAGTTCTCGTCAAAGTCGCACATCTTGTCACTGATTTGCACAGCCTGCCTGGGCCCTTGCCGGATCATGTCTCGTCTGAGTAGTGGCACCAGGTAGTTATCAATTCCATCAACTTCTTGTATGATGAGAACCTTTCCAAATCGCACTGCCAGTTCAAGCTGGGAGACCAACTTCGGGTCTTGCTGCAACACGCTCTCTGCGTGTGGATTGGTCTGCTTTAGCCATTCGAGAGCCTGGCTGTTGGGATCGACGATGAAAGGAACGAGTATGCCAGAGTTGATCATGACAGCATTCTCTTGTGAGAGACGGTCTGCAGACAGCCCCTGCGCCTTCCAAGTCAGAAGCTCACTCTCGGAAGACATCATCCGCAAGAAATCGAAGGTTGTGATTCCGCGCGACTCGGTCCACAGGAAATTGGCCTGCACACATGCAAAGGGATAGGTCAAGACTATCAAGCCTGTCGATGTCTGTCAGGCTACGAGATCGGGCAGCGGGTAAACTGCGAACATGTTGCTTGCTTGGCCTATGTTCCGGACGGGAAAATCCACAAAGCCGCTTTCGTCAGAAAACAGCAGTTCGTCATGTTAGGGAATGTTCGCACATGGAGCATGAAGCTTGGAGCTTCTAGAGGTGGAAGCACACATGCAGGGTGGGCGGGGGGAGCGAGAACTACAGCACTTTCCGATTCGGCTCCTGTTGTCTGACATCCTCGGAGAAGTGCCCCAGGTAGGTACAGTAGGCTGCTGACAGGCAAGTATGTGTTGAAAGTAGAGCAGCATCTCGCTGGATTTCGGCCACCTGCGATTCCCAACGATCCTTCTCCCCAGACATCTTGCTCATGAGGTGATCTGCTTTCTCAAGTGTGGAAGTTGCGCGTTCCAAGTCAACACGAAGGGCTTCGGCTTCACGGGTGCGTGCTGCAAACTCTTCTTGAAGGCGTTGGACATCTTCGTCGATTTGGACAAGCTCCTCCTTGTAAATCGCCAATTTGTTATGCGCAGCCCGCAAAGATTCTTCTGCATCATCACGGGCTTTCTCCATAGGCGCAACCTTTACCAGGACGGTGCTATATCGGACGCAAGCCACAACCCACTTGGCCAAGGGAGCCGCAGCCACGGAGACGCGGTAAATCGTTGCATGATCAAACGAGTTGCTCTTCTCCCGTAGCAGCTTCTCCACGTCCGAACGCGTCTTCTCATCGATTTGGCGGGGATCAAAGTTGATGATACGCTGGATGGCACCAGTACCTGCCAAGAACTTCTTCATCGAAGCCCAAGAGTTGTCATAGTTCCCCATCAAGCGAAGCACCCCGTTGAGCACATCATGGATGGGGTCTGGAGGCATTTTCAGAGCCCGGATCTCATTGAGATGTTCCGGCTTGATGCTGCCGACGGCCTTCTTTGCTGCATCGAGGATGGGTTGAATTTCGGAGAGCTCTTTTTCAATGGATGCTTTATCCGCACTGTTCTTCTCCTGCTCAAGCTGCGTTTGCCCCTCCAAGCGTTCAACCTCCTGCCGGCGATCTGCTGACTGTTGCATGGCTGCAGTGATGCGCTGCAAGGCTTCGGCAGCCAATACCTTCTTCTCTTCCAACACCTTCTGCTTCGCAATGGCGTCCTCCTGCAACCTCTCGACAGTCTGGCTGACCTCCTGCAGCTTGGACAAGCCCTTCTGAAGGTGTGATGACTGCCCAGATGCAGTGGAAATCTTCTTCGAGTACATGGCATGGCAAGTCTGAAGAAGCGTGATGTAATGCCTCGGAGAAGCCTTAGCTTGAGTGGCATGGATGTCCTGCAACAGGGATCCCAGGTTTTTCTGAGACAACATCTCGCCCAGAATTCTTTGTGCGATGATCGTCTTGCTCTGCTCAGACCATTCATCCAACCAAAGAACCGTCGTGCATGAGAACAAGGCCGGATTTGCGGCGCAATACGGCAAGAAGTGGGGGTGATTCGGATCCATGGAGAGCACGATATGGAGGCGCTGTTGCACTTGGTTGCAGAAATACTCGAACGGTGTCCTTGCGCCACCTCCCCTGCCCTGAGATGCAGCCCATTCCTCCTTCAGGGGTGCTAACAATGGTTCCAGCTCCTCGGGTGTCCAAATACCAGGAACGTCACCTGCACTAAGCAAAGAGTTGATTGATTCCAGGAACTCAGATTTTAGCAAGTGATGGTCTTCCAAGAACAGAATCGTGTGCTGCTTCTCTACGCCCGTCATCTGCATCACCGCCTTCAGGTCCCGCTTCCACTCCTTGTCACCATAACGCCGTGCAGGCGCAGGGCTGAACACCGCCAAGCGATGCATGTGGGCCAACAGGGAGATCACGGAGCGCTTGCCACCCCCGGAGCGTCCCACGACCAAGAGATCATTCGCAACGGGTGCGGCAAGTGCACGATCCATCCAACTGAGTTGCTCAAGAACCTCTGGCACGAGTTCAATTTCCAAATCCTTAACCTCACGCTGATAGGACTTCAAGCCATCTTTGACCATCTTCGTGTAGTCTTCAGGCGAGACCTTCTTCATGTCACCACTGGGCACTCCTTCCTCATTCAGAGTGAGCATCGCCGTGAACATCAGCTTATCCACCTCCACGTCCACACCGACATACTGTATCAGCGCATTTCTGAGCAACGCATCAAAATGTGATTTGGCTTCATCGCCCACGAGTCTGTCACGGAAGATTCGGGTGGCTTCATACGCCCAGGCCTCTACAAGACTCTCGACGGACATCACTTCGTACCTCAGCAGCTGAAGCACCCATTGTGTCAAGTCTCTGGGGTTGAACAAATAGTGCTCGTGATCATCCATGGTAAACTTGGCTTTCATGCTGGCGTAAATGTCAACCATTGCCTCTGCCAGCTTCTCGCACAAGCCATGGCTTCGATCGGCCACATTCTGCCAGTCCGGTGATGTGAAAGTTGCACGCAGAAAATGCGTGTAGACCTCGACCAGCTCCTCTGAGCTCGGGTATGAAATTGAGCAAACTCTGACATTTGCCGTGAAGCGCGTCGCTAGACGGTGACGACCGAGTGTGCTGGCTGGTGCAATAGAAGCTACTATTTGAATATGCTCCAGCAACACAAACTCCAAGTCATCATCATAAAAGCCCTTGTGCATCACCGCCTGCTGCAAGAACATGATGATTTCAGAAGTGTCGTACTTATCCGGTGTGGGCAAGTTAATATCCTTCAGATACAATACCAGGCGCCTGCCTTCCCGTGGCCTGTAGATCCGACCCGTGGTGCCGGTGGAGATCGCGCAGAACTGACGTAACTTCTGCAGTACATCTTTGGACGATGTTTGTGCATTGCAGTTTAAGACTGCGACATTCAAAGCAGCATCCGACTCGTTCTGCAGGCGGTGAATGGCGTGACGGATCAGCAAGTTCTTGCCAGCACCCTCCGGACCACTGACAAGGAAAGGCTGTTCCTGAGCTAGCCAAGTCGAGAAAAGATCCATGTTGCGCAACACCGTGGCGGTTGGAACCAATGGAGGCAACACTGCAGCCCGCTTAACGTCCTCGAGAGAAATTTCGGTGCCTGCAGAAACCTGGTAACCAACGATCAAGGACTCGACGACCTGGCAGTGAAGTGGCTGGCTTGGATCCGGAATGTTCTCGTTCGACCATTTGAAAGCCTCACGCGTCAGTGCAGCACGATCATCTTCTGACAGGTTGCCTCCCAGTCCACGACATATCGCGAGCAAAAAGCTCTGCTTGGAAATTCCTGGGCTTTCATCGTGCACGGTCACAGCAGCCTCACCCTCGGCCTTGCTGAGATGACCGAGAACATTGCTGACCATGCCCATCCGAGTTGTTTCGATCGCCATCTCACGGGGACCCTTGTACAGCCAGTCCAAAGCCCTGTAGAAGAGCTCGTCGAACCAACTCTCAAGCTGGCCCTGCTGCTCTTCTGGCTGCTTCAGGATCCAAGAAGTTACAAGAGGTTTGACATCGACATCTTCTTCAGAAAGGAAGATCATCGTCAAGCGGCTGATCGTGGCAGGAGATGCAAACCGCAAATGATCAGTTTCGAAAACGAAATTCACATTCGATCCAAACTGGATGCGCTCTCCGTTGGGCATTGTCAGAAGCTTGTTGTCATCCAAAACGCTGTTCAGCGATTCTATCCATTCAGGATCGATGTCGCCGTCGCACACGATCCAATTGTGGGTTGTCGATGGCTCTTTGATGACTTTCCTTGCACTGGCGGTGAGGACGCCATCAAACCATTCACGTGTGTCGTGGTCCATGTGGCCAAGTAAGCGAATCCTGTGCATCGACTTAGGGTTCATCACATGCACGACATACTTCTTTCCCTGTTTCTTGTAGGCGGCCTCAAGTACCTTCCAAATTGTGCTCTTGCCACAGCCTGAAGGCCCAACAATGCCCACACCCATGCGCTGTTGACATGCTTCATGAAACTGCAGCATCTTGTAGATCTGTGAATCGATTTCTGCAAGCCTCATCTCACGCATCGTTTCGCGAATCACTGCCTCGAGCTCCTTATACTCGATGTCTTTCACATTAACTCCAGGAAATAAGTCCACACACAAATCCTGAAATCGCTTTGAATCTGCGAAAGTCAGCTTTGAGAGCGTATTCATCCTGACTGCCTTCAACAAAATCACAGATTCCTCATCTTCTCGAAGCGGCTCTGCTTGCTCAGCTTTCGTCTCTTGTAGGAGTCGGCCAGCCAGAGTCAGGATCGGCTTCAGGGCTCGAAGGCCCCAGTCGTAATGCTGCTGTGACGACAGTAGCTGCCGTGACAGAAGGAACAAAGCAACAATCTTCTGTGCCAACACCTTTGCGCTCATGAACCCTTCCGCAAACATCATGACCTCTGCGATCAGCTCGTTGTCGGGCACGCTCATGGCCACCTCATCACGCCGTGCCCCCATGCCCTCGCTCTACGACTTTCATTGAAGGGGCCTGGGGCGTTTCGGTTTCCTACCCAAAACCGTTCATCGTATCAATGAGTACAGCTAGCATGCCAAGCCGCAGGGCGAAAGAGCTGCTTGAGGTTGTCTGGCAGCTTCTGTCGGCCGCCATAGCCTTTCGTAGCGGGATTCAACGTAATGAAAATCCCAGCGTTGTGATTGACGGGCACATCGCGATTAAGCAAGTGAACGGTGCTGTGACTGTTCTTGATGGCTGCCTGGATCAACTGCACTGACTGGGAGATGGCCGACATCTGCTCCTCCAGCAAGCGGTTGAATTCATCGAAGCAGCCCCATGCGCCACAGCGGACCAAGCCAACGAAGATTCGGCCCATAGCTTGAAAGTCGATTCCCTCATCGCAGTTGAACACTAGGACCTGTCGTCCCAAACAGGAGCCGAGGGCCTTCACTGACTCTGTCTTGCCAGTTCCAGCAGGGCCGTATGGATTTCCGCCGTATCCAAGATGCAGGCCATGCATCAGCGTCAAGTAGCATTTGTCCGTGAGTGGTGTGTGCACAAGCTTCGGGGCGTTCCCCTGGTATTCAAAGGAGTAGCTCTGCTCACACTCAAGCATGCGAACGCTGCAGGGCTTCTGTTCCGGGCCAGCTCCTTGCTTCAGGTAGTAGCGAAGCTGTCTGTACCAGCTCCACTCGGACACCTTCTGTACTTTGTGCACCAGCAAATCCTCTAGGACGGAGATGTTGTGGATCAGATCCAAGATCAGGGCTTTCAATTTCGCCTGTGGCAAGGCCCCGTCCAAAGAAAGAGATGTCATGGAGGTCAGCTGGCTTTGCAAGTCCCCCTTGAGTTGGAGCAGTTGCCCGTTGCTCATGTACCTTTCAATGTTGTGGGTGAAATGGATGTTTGCACTCAGGCACAACAATTGCGACGGGTACTTTTCGAACTGCTGCATGTCCATTTCGGACTGGGCATAGCATCCCTGCAGCTGCACTGCAAGTGTGGAAAACATCTCGTTGGAGAGGTTGGACAACCACTCTTCAACCGGTAAAGGATCCTCACCCTCTCGGACAACAACTGCATTCCCAAGTGGCACATTTTCCTTCAGAGAGCTGTTCATGGCAACGATACGTGTTATGTTCGGATCAAAGTCCACTGTTGCGATGCCAGCGAAGAGCTTCTTCAGATGGGCTTGGATAACTTCAGGGTTGCTTGATTGACCGAGGATCTCGAGCAAGTCTTCATCTCCAATAAAGTAGAGGCGCGGGAAAGCTGAACGCTTTTCTTCCAGGAAGCTGTTTAAAGCCTTCTGGCACCGCTCCAACTGGTCAGAAAGTGTCACGAACTGCTCCTTCAAGCCTCGGACCGTGCAGAGATAGTTCACCTTCTTGGCGGCACCCACATTTTTCATGATCTGCCGATACTGGCCATTCACTTTGTCGAAGCGCTCCTTCTCCCGAGGCAAGGAGCCTCGACCGAAAATTGGCTCCAAGTAGACCCACTTCCGCTGGACTTTGTTCATGCACAGCAGCAGCTCGTCCAGCAGGGTTAGCTTCTCCTCAAACTTGTCGACTTGATCTTTGAAGGGCCCAAAAAATCTCGAGTCCTTCAAAGAGCCGCAGAGGTTTTGTTTCTCCGACACTTCTGACATCAAGTCTTTCCAATCCTTTATCAGCGGGACGAATCCTCCCCTGACAGCATGATCCATGAAATTGAATTCGGCCTGTTCGAACCAAGCGGACACCTCCATGACGGCATCTCGGATTGTGACTTCTCCTATGGCACGAGCGGTTAATTCTTTGAGCTCGTCCACCTTTTCCACGATGATGTCCAGCCTTTCGGCCAGCACGCGAAAAGTGAGAGCCTCGAGCTTGGTGTCGGCAGGCAGTTTCAACAGCCCAAAGAGAATCTTCCAATGATCCTTCTCGAAAGGCTCGCCCGTCATCGCCTTCAGGGCCGGATGCGCGGCATTGAGCCTCTGCACCTGTTGCGACAGCATGTGCGTCACGGGATCCCTGGGAACTTCTCGGAGTCGTGCCAGCCAGTTGTGTGCCAAATCCTGAAGACTGAAGAGCCGGGGTCTCAATTCAAGCCAAGTCTGCAGGAGCAACTCCTCGTACTGTGTTGTAAACTCCTCGAAGAGGCTCCAGCTGGCTTGCTGCCGGTTCAAGTCCTCCTCCACATCTGTGATGTTTTGCAGTTCAGGCGGGGGCAGCCCGAAGTCCGCACAGTCGCCCTGCAACACTGTCATTTGTTCCCTCAGGGCTTGCCACTCTGATTGCCATTCCTGCATCTGTTGCGCATTCTTCTTTGCCTCCTCAATCGAGCAGTCATCTGCCGTCTTCGGCTTTAACGACTGCCAGCGGGAAGCAAATTTGTCAATGTCGCTGTTCATCTGGGCAATGCGCTGGTCCATCTTGCCTCGCAACTCTTCGCGCAAGTCATTTGCCAGCTGCTCAAAGGCCTCTAAGCGAATGAGGAAATCTTCCCACTTGTTCTGCACTTCACTCATGTCAATGCCTGTGCCAACTGTTTTAAGAAGCTTGTTCTTCTCCTCAGCCTGATCGAGTTGCTTCTTCCAAGTTGACTGTTCCTCCATCAAAATCGCCGCATCGGCTTGGGCTTTGCCAAGTTCTTGCACCGTGTCCGGACGGACATTTAGCTTCTCCAAGGCTTGCTCTAAAAACTGCATCACACTTTTGGCCTCGTCAGATGCCTTGCGCCGCAGTGCAATGACCAATGCATCGCTCAAGCGCTCAAGTTGATCTTCAATCACAGACTTGAGCACCACTGTGCTGATTGTGAAGCAGTCTATCTTCACGGTGTCTGGAATCTTGTCCATCTCCTTCCGCTTCGCCTTGATGGCTCTGAAGTTGAGGTCCCAGTCCTTCGGGTCCGTCAGCTCTTCCACGAGCTCTTGGACTCGCTCAGGCATCAACCCCACCACAAGCCATGGCGAAAACGAGTTCTGGAGCTGCTGCACTCGCTGGAACAGCCCATCTGCCTTCTGGAAAACGACTGCGATGCCCTCTGCATTGCGATCGGGCATTGCCTTATACACATGTGGAGCACCATCCAGGCCTTTAAATTGAAGTGGCAGTGATATGAAGGACTTTATCTCCTTGAAGTACAAAGACTTTAACTCCTCCAAAGGTGGCTTAAGTTTCAGCTGTTTCTGGGCCAGGATCAAATCCGCCTTCATCTCCGGCAAGTTTTCGTTGAGACTTTCCAAGCCGAACCTGTACTGAACTTCCATGATTTTGAATATCTGGAAATCCCAGTGAGCCTTCCATGGCTTTGCATCTGGAATTTGGCACCCACAAGCTCCAATGGTGGCATCGATGGCCTTCTGAATCTGTGCCAGTTTCTGCTTCCACTGGTCGCGCTGACGTAGCAAGCTGATGTTTGCCAACTGCACAACTTCCTGCGAAACTTGGGTGTGGCCGTTTCGAAGGCGCCGGTTGACGGCTCGTAGGCGCTCTGCACCGTCTTTGACGTTTCGGGTGAATGTCTCCAACTGGTCAAACTTGTTCCACTGGACTTTCTTCATTCCGCTCTTCTCATTGAAGAGCTGCTCAAAGGCAAGAGCTGGCTGTAGGACCATCAGCTTTTGCGAGGGGAGCAGTTCTGCCGAAAGTGTGTTGTAGAAGTTGCAGACTTGCTTTAGCTGCACGGCAAAGCGATAGAACTTCAGACCATCCTGCACTGCCAGCTTGACTTTGTTCGGCACGTTGCAGCCCAACTGCTCAAAGATCCGTGCCTCCTTCACAAGCTCTATCAGTCGCTCGGAGTATGTGATTTTCAATGCTCCCTGCTGTGCGGTGTCAAAGTCCATCACGCGGCTGTTCATTTCAAGAGCAATGGGATCCTCAGGATCCTTCAGTTGCGACTCCACTTCATCGCACCAATCTTTGTAGGCTCTGTTTCGAAACTCCTTCAATTCTGCACGGACCTTTTTATAGGTGTTGCCAACCTTGCCTGCCGAGTGCAAATCCTTCAAGAAACCGGCGAGCGGCCGAGCTGCCAGATCCGCTTTGCTCCGCAGCTGCTCTACCCAAACCATCTTCCGTGCATGCAAACTAAGGCCACGACCAGCTGGCAAGTTACTGGAATCAAAAGTCTCAAGCTCTGCCTGAACTCGGCCGAGAAAGTCGTCTAACTCTGTAAGCAGCCTCTCACGTTCATTGGTCAAGGACTGCCGGATGTTGCGGCGTTCCAGAAGATCTTGGTATCTTTGGAAGACTCGTACAGTTTGGGCTGGATTGGATGTATTGGTGAAGAGCTCTGCACGGAGACGTTCTGCAACTTGAGCTTCCACCGGTGCCATTCGCGCTTCGTATTCTGCAAGGGCAGTTCGCCAGGCTGGCACGGTGTAGTCGTTGTAGCTGAAGGCAGACAACTTCAAGAAGGGTTCGAAGCAACTCTCAATTTGCATCGCTTTGAGCTCATCCTCGCTGAGGAGCTTCAGGATTTGGTCGTGCTGCCCGCGCAGTTGACTAACCTCTTGGATCCGACCAGCAAGATTCGTGAGGAAGGGATCCTTGTAGGCTTCACCTTCCCATCTATTGTCGCTTGACCTCCATTGTACATCCGTCAGATCCACGGTGACCTCGTTCCAGCGCTCACAAACTTTGTGCCCTTCTCGGATGTGCTTGGACACCTGGGAGAAGGATGATGTCCACACGTTCAGACTGTTCAATCTGGATTGCACACACCGACCAAGAGCACCGGCAATCACTTTCAAGAAGTGAAGCATCCTCGCTGCTGGATATTGAGGCGCCACGTCACACTGCCATAAGGAATCCAGTGAGTCCATGAGGGTCTCAACAAGTTCAAGCAATTGGGGAAACGTCTTCTTCGTTAAATCATCCAAGTCGGATGCAATGGGCGCAAGGGCATCTGAGAACTTGCTGGCGCGGTCTACTGCAGCATCGCCTACGCCGGTAGCATTCTTTAATTCTTCCCAGAAGTGAACCTCATCCACTGGCGTGACGATCCCTGACATATCGTTGTCATCAAACTCGCCAGCATTCCGACTTCGGAGTCCACGGCGAAGAGATGCCTTCAGGCCAGCATCCAGCTCCACCAAGCTGTCTGTCAGACGGCCTTCAAGCCCATCAGTTCCTTCCTTGGTCTCCACCAAGAGTGGCATGTAAACTTCATGCACATTGTAGTACAGGCTGCGGACAGCAGACATTCTGAGTGACGACACCATTACGAGCCTAGAGATGTTTGCCTCTGTCAAGGGCTCATAAGAGGTCTTCACGAAGTGCATCTCTGGCAGTCCCTCCGCATAGCTGGAGAAGCCAAGCTGGAACGTCACAGTCCGCTTGGATGTGTCCCCTGAATCGTTCTCAATGGCCTGGAGGATCTTCTCGTTTGGATGATCCAGAAATTTTTCCAAAGCAGTATTGGAAGTTGTGTTGCTTCGGAATTCGTTGCGTGGAATGTTCAGCACGCTGATGATGCACTGGACAATATACTCTTTTCGGGGATCCGTCATGGCCGTCAATGAATTCACACGAATCAAACCATCTGCTTAAGCCTGATGTACAGAGCTCGTTAAGGCCCCTATGGCTACTCTACTGCTGCAGCAAAGGTCCTGCAATTATTGGGTTTTTGATGTTGCTGGTCGAGTGCCACTTGCAATCACAACTTACCGTGGCTCCACTGTGATTGGTTCTTTCACTGGCTGGTCGTTCCTGGAAACGGCATCAGCATGAGAGATCTGGCTCACTGTCTCCCGAACATGACTGATTCGAAAATCCTCTTTCACCGCGGGTGGGTGCGATGCAGAGAAGATTGTTGCAGAAACACCCATCTTTTCGAGTGTTTTCGCGCGCGATCAAATTATGGACAGCTTCTGGCGTCGTTGGCCAGATTTCTTCTTGTCCTAGCAGGAATGCTTCTGATCAGAAGACATGCCCTCCAACTCCATGACACAAGTGATACACAAAATGAATGGCTGCTCCCTCAGGCTCTTCAGTTCCCCCACACAGCAGAGCCGAGAGCATGAAGTTTCAAGCAACTGCAGTTTCTTGCACCAAACTTTCTTGGTGTGAACTTCAACTAGCCAAAACCGGGCACTCGCTTACCCAAGGTGCAGCGCTATCCTCAAAGCAATTGCATGCCAATACATGGGGAATATCGTGATGTCTTGGCTCGTGCAACATGGCAGAAGTCATAAAGACATGCAATCAAGCCGGGAGCACAAAACTAGAGCGAGAACATGCGAGAACTAGAGGGAGCCCAATTCCCACCGAGAGAAAACCCAGTTGCAGGCATCCAAGAACCGGCAATATTCCTGACCTGCAAACACTATCGTGCGTGAGCGAGAACTGCACTGCAGCAACACGTATGTCCACGCAGAAAGGTTCATAAGGAAAAGAGGCCAGAGGATGACAAAAAAGCTTTAGATGTGCACCGTGAGCAGTCGGATTCGTTATTGCAAAACAGCTTGGCTGCCATGCAACGACGCAGAGGCCGCATAAGGATGATGTTTCACAGCAACAACACACAAAGTTAAACGTGCGCAAATCCAAGTTTTGCACGTAGAAAATCGCTAAACGTACTTGGTGGTGACAGGGGCAGACTTCCATGAGGAAGCACAACGCACACCCACGAATGTCCACACACGCGCACGCACGCACCCATGCACCCCCGCTCCCACACACCCGCACACCCACGCAGCCAGACACCCAGACACCGACACACCGACACACCCACGCACCTACACACCAACACACCCATGCACACACTCACGCGCGCAAAAGCAAACACCCCTTTCAGGCACATCCTATCGAGCAGATTGTCATGTTGTCTTCCCTTGGTTCATTCTCACTGTTTTTCTGCGCATCACGTTTCGTTTATCGAATTGGGTTTCTGCGGAAAAGTGCGAACATCATCAGCTGTCATTCGTCTTGTTCTCTTGGATCTCAAGGCGTCTTGACAAACACTGTGGAGTGAAGCCAGGTTTGCAGGTACGTTCGACTGAGCAGACCGGATGTCTTTTTGCATGGACAGTCAGCCGCCCTGCTTTCTTCGTATTTCCAAGACTACCGTTCCGACACAAGCGGTGCCAAGCCCTTGAACAACCATTTTTAGGAGCACAGATTTCTACAAACACACACTCTCTCTCTCTGACTCTCTCTTTCTTTCGCCAGGGCCGTGGGCCAGGGGTCCCTAGTCCGCGCGCAGCTGCGCCCCCGACCGTTCTGGTGGGGACAAAGCCACTTGGGTGACATACAAATGCAGTGCAACAAAGGGAAACAAGGATAAGATTGCAAAACGAGGAACGTCCCCCGACGTGGCTGAGAGCTGTACAGGCTTGAGGAAGTGTGAAATCAGAATCGCAAGGGGGTACTGGTAACCGCAGTGCGCAATCCGTTCCGGGGTGAATCCAAACAACCTGAACAACAACCAGTAAGCCCCATCAGAACCTACCAAAAGTCAAGAACTGATCGCAGTGGCTACATGGGGAAATACCCGATGAAGCTTTTGGCTGTGTATCCTAAAGACAGCAAAAAGGGAAACTAGGGACACCATGTGAAAAGAGTAAGTAGAAAGATTCGGCCCTTTCTCTCTCTCTCTCTCTCTCTACCGGGCCAGGAGGGGTAGCGGTCGCTAACCCCCCCACACGCATACTCTCTCTCTCTCTCTCTCTCTCTCTCTCGGGCTTCGGGGTCGGTTAAGACCCGCGGGCAAGATTGCCAACTCGCACGTTTTACGCGGGAGCAGGGGTGTGAAGTACGAGTACAATGCACCTTGTGGGCTAAGGCCATATAGTATGCGATGACGAATATGAGGATGCATGTATCTCTCTCCCACTCTCTCTCTGAGTCTACATTGTTCGATTCAGTTTCCTCGGCAGAACATTTATTGCTTGATGCTCCTTCTTCACTTTGGAAGCTCGCTGCTCCTTTTTTCTTTCCTGCAGGTTTCTCGGCTCTGACAGATTCAAAGACAACCTTGCTTGGCATGCCAACGGGCAGCCGGCCTTGGCCTGCCTGACGACAGCCTTGGTCATCTCGACATCCCGCAACAGAAGCGACAGCTTCCTTCGGGGGCGAAACAGAACACGGTCTGTTTCCGCCCCTGGACCCGTCTCCTGTGAAATGTCGCGCGGCCATCCCTCAAAGCCAAATTGAAGTCAAAGAGGTCGGTGAAGCTGCTGCCCTCACAAAGGGTCACAGGCCCATCACGGAAGCCACGACGCAATCAAATGCCTTCCAAGCGGAAAGGCTCCTTGAGTCCACCATGTGCAGCTCGTCCGACCTCAGAACGAGGCAAAGCCGAAAGAGCGAATGATGCGGCGAAAAATAAGCTGCCAAGACTAGCCTGCACGGCATGCTCTGCTGTTTTCGTCTGGCTACCGAGAGCCGCTCCGCTGCGGGAAGGCGAGCGATTTCACTCACACAGAAACTAACACAAATCAGGGCATGCCCTAACAGGTCAGGCAACTCGAGTTTCATCAACACTGGTATCAATACTCTTCTGACCTGCTAGCTGTACAGGGGGTTTTCCCCGCCGCAAAGCCCTTTCGTGAAAGAGCATGCCTCGATCACCGCCCCGATTGGCCTTCGTAAGACCATTCGCTAATTGACAACGAGTCGGGACCCAAAGTAATTTGGCTTTACCGAGGCCGCTCTCTGTGGTAGACAAAAGTTGTCGCAGAAGCACGGCGTGCACATTTCTCACTGACATGCTGACCATCCTTATGAACCGTGTCGTAGATTCTCTTACAATCCGTGATCAATGTGACAGGACACAAATCTTGCCAGCCGTCATCCTCGATCGCAGAGATAACTTCTGATCCATAAAGAATCTCTGAGATAAGAACTTGAGCGAACCGAACCATATTATGACCCATCAGGGCTCCACAGGTCTCTGCCGCGAAAGACGACTCGACCACCCTCCGATTCGTGGCGCTCCTCCAATCGATGAGGTTGAGATGAGCCCTATCTCCTGTTAAAGTGCTTCCTCTCTTCACGAATCCGAGGCACACCCCTTTTTGAGAATAGACGAGTTTCTTGTCGGAGCTAGACTGGAGAACGTCATCGCATTCCTGCTCATCGATCTCGACGCCCACAAAACGCGACGATATCGGCATCGGCTCCGAGAGGTCTGAAGACGATCTCAAACCGATTCTTCACTGCCTCCCTCACGGCCCGATTAGCTCTCTGGAGATCTCTCACCCGAAGGTCACCTATGCGCTTCTGAAGCTGGTTACACTCAAACGCAAGATCGGGCCGACTCTGCACTGAGAACCACTGTAGGCTCCCCACGACTGACCGACAAATCGGTCACCTCAGTCTCTGTGGCCCGAGCTTCAAGATCCTTTGTCCTCCTAGGATCGATTCGCATCGGCTGCAGCCTCCCTTCTACAAAAGCGTCCTGAGATAAGAGAATGCATTCTTCACGATCCCTCTGAGCTTATCCGAATCTCTTTACCACAGTAAGTAACTCCGGAAGGTTGCTCCGACACCTGCATCCAAGTCCCGAATGGGAAACGCTCATGCAACCTGTTTGCCACCTTTTTGCCTTCTTCAGATCCATCATGGCAAATCATAACGTCATCAACAATCGGCCTTGACAATCCCTAAGACAAAACAGAGCTGGGTCTACAGCAGACTTCTGAAACCCCAGGTCGGACTGCAGAATTCGCGACAGCTCGTTGTACTATGCTCTAGGAGCATCTGGCCTGCCGTACACCGGCTTGAGAAGCTTCAAGATCTGTCCGGGGACCAAGCCACCCAATCCTTGTTTAGGCTGCCTCATGTACATGACTTCTGTCCTTTCCAAAGGAGCCCCTTGAAGAAAGGCATTAGAAATGTCTCCTATACACCAGTTCTTGGTCCATCCAAAGCTGACCACCAAATGAAGAAAGATCATGGTCGAGACCCTCTCGATGGTGGGCGAATCTACCTGGAGTTTGCCCGTTTCGCTATCGGGACAGAGATGCCCCTGAAGGCATAATCTGGCCTTGGCTTTCACGGGAAGGTCTCTCCCGCGCTGTCCTTCCACCCGGCATGTTTATTCCTGAACACGTATCGGCTCGGGAGGAGTCTTTGTGGTTTGTCTTTCTCAACTTGCCTATTCTGCTCAAGACAAGACCTCGCAACTCTTGTAGTCTAGCCAACTCCTTCTCCTCGGCGGCGCGATGCAACTCACGATCACATTCAGGGATCATTTCAAAGGGGATCTCCTTTTCCATCATCCGACGGGGCTTGGTTTGACTTCTTTGTATTCCCCCTATCCTGAAGAACAGCATTAACGCGATGAGATTCAAGCACCTGTCCCTTCCGTCGCTTGACACTCACAGGAACGTAGTCTAGACAGCTATCCTTGCGAGTACGATTTTGAAAAATCGTGATCAGCATGCTTGCCGGACCTTCTGGAATAAACTGATGATGATCTTCTAACTCCATCCACTTCACCTCATGTTCGAGACGCTTCCACTGACCACCAGCATAAGCCCAAGAAGTCCTGAATGGAAACCTGTCCGGAGCATACCTAGACTCAGGAGTTCTGAAGGCCCAGACCTTGTGAGAAACAAGTACAGGATTTTCAAGTGAATCAGCATGCCACCCAACCCGATTCCTGGGGCTGGCCTACTCCTGAGAGAGCCCTTGGCCTTCATCGTCCTCCTCACAAGGGGATCCTCTTCGAGAAGCTCTGGCTCATCCTGTCCTACAAGTCCTCGTAAGTGGCTTCCTTAGGAACCTTCTTAAACAAAGCCATAGCTTTCTGAAGTTGAGGCTCACCAAAATGTTTCTCATCTCCTACTGCCTCCCGAAGATGCTCCCCAGCGACGAGGAAGCACCTTCCTCCGCAGGCAACCCATGCGTTCCTATCCTGAAGGCCAACGATGAATCCTGGACCTACCCACTTGCTCTGGCTTTCGCGATTCTTGCTTCCTTGATCCCTCCAAACGAAAACCATCTGCCCGATCTTAGGAACAGGCAACTTGCGGGTACGATGATGGACGGTCTTCAGCAACATCTGCCTAGCCTGAGTTTTGATGTGTTCAAGATTAGCATGGTACCTGTATCTCGTGCGGATGGCCACATCGCTGCCCTTTTCACCCACTGAAGGACGATAGGAACCTGGATTTCCGTTGTGATGTAACTCCCCAAACATACGGAGTTCCCGCCCAACGGTTGACCATCCATGTTCACGGACGGGGCTGTTCTTTGCACAAGCAACTTCCCTGGCAAGCTTTCTCATCTCCTCGCGACCTTTCGCCTGAGTGTGTCGTATGGTATTGATAAGCATGTCCTAACCGTGCGGTTGTGCCTCTCAATCTTGCCCTGTTGCGCAGTTCCAGCAATTGCACTCAGACTGCATCCGCTTGCACTCAGGCTTTCCCAAAACTCTTTACCCTGAAAGCCGCCCTCAAGATCGGTGGTAGCTCGCAACGGGGGTCCGGCCCACTCCATCCAAGCCCGATCAACTCCTCTCAACAACTCAGCCGGCGAATGATCTCTGAGAAGTTCGACAATGTGGTATGAAGTAGCCCTGTCTATCACCAAAAGAAACCAGTGCGGCTGCTTGTCAGAGTCATGAATGCAAATGCAATCCAGTTGCACCTCGTCGCCGAATGTGACTCGACATGGAGGTATACTAGACACCCTATGAGTAGCAGGCTGCCTACCATGTGCACATGTCATGCACCCCATCCATCCAGCGGCTTCGATCGGCGATGCTAGGGTGCCCCAGGTTGCAGTGGGCTTTGACTAGCCCACGTCTCACAGCTTCACTCACTCGGCGACCTGGGGGAACCTCAAACGACACACCCTCACTGGAAAAACGGCTTTGCACTGATTCAGTCGGGGCAGCTCCACATCCATATCCCTCGGTCGCCGAACCACAGGGGGATTAGGCTCCTGCCAAACGGGAATCATCTCCTCGTCTTCATCACTCTCATGCTCTCCATGTCCCTGCGCAAAAACCGCGTTCAGTATCATCCGCCAGGCCCTGGTCGTCGCCCTCCACGGTGGCGATGTACACGCCCGTGGGGCCGAACAGCTCGTCCTGATCCGATTCGCTGTGACTAAGCTGCTCCTCTATAACGGCCAAAACGTTCTTGTCGGATGTTCTATGATCACGATGGTAAGGGCATGCAGCATCTCCATGCCAATGTCCATACACCGTCTTGCCATGAGCCTTACACGCTGAACATGACATGCGCTCCTTCATGCTCTTGATCCGCTTCTCACGATCTTCAGGGTTCTCAATCTTGTTGAATCCACGAGCCTTCTCAATCTGAGCCCTCTTCTTGGCTGCCTGTGTCAGCAGCACTTCTAACTCTCCCTCGAGGTGTTCGGCCTCCGCACCTGCGTCCTCCATCTCGTCCTTGTCCGGTCCATCCAGGCTATCATCTGGGGTAGCATGTACCTGCCGAGGAGGCTTCGCGGTTTCCATTGTCGGTTGGTCGATGGGGGGCTGTGGCTGCCGTCTTCCTCCTTGTTGAGCTTATTGTAATCGTACTCCCCCCCAGCGGCCGCCACCACTTGTTTCCGAAGATCACCCGAGAGCCCTGCTTTCTCAATGAACCAGTAGGCCTTGGTAAGCCCTTCGATCTTGGCACCGATCTCCTCCAATCTCTTGAGGTGATTCCGAAATTCCATATCGTAAGCTATGTACTCTTGGCCCGGAGTCCTTCGGAAGTTCTTGTAGAAATCGGCGAGCGTGCAGAAGATGCGGAGGTACTCGAGCGGCTCGAGTTCCTGCCACAAGTGTGCTAAGAGTCGCTCGACGCTTTTAGGATGTTTGAGGTCCAACAAGTCCAAGGATTCCATCGCAAGCCATGCTACTCCACTGAGTCGTTCCATAAGTTCCTGCGCCCTACACGACTCGTCTATCCCGGTCGATGCCTCAAACAACTTGACCCTCCGCTCGTGCTTTCTCCTAGGCGTGGAGCCGTTGTACTCCGGCACGTAGTCCTTGCCAGTCTTTGCCGTTTCCTTCTTTCCCGAGGCACTGCTCACATCACTGTCCTTCGGATCTCGACCATCAACTCCGTCATGATCATGATCATCCATTGAGGCCGTGGCCTCAGTAGACTGTGTTCCTGACTGGACGGAGGCCCTATGCTGCGTGCTGCCCTCATCCTCAGGTGCCGTGCCCCTCGAATTGTTTTCCCCGGCTGACTGATCTCCTGCCCAACTAGACCATGAACGATCCTGGTTGTCCCTACTCCAACCTGCCGCTCCCGATCTTCAACAAGGGCCGGTCCACCAGCCGCCGTCGGCAGCCCAGCCTCGATGCTGCCAAACATCACCTGGCCACGTATGGCCACTATTGCGGTAGGCATCATAATTTGTGTAAACCCACCATGCATTCGGTTGCTGCTGCTGTCGATTATCGCCTTGATCATCACGGCTATCACCGCCCATTGTGCCACCGCTAGCATCTTGCGCCGCTGCTTGCTGATTTGCTTCACTCATGCCCTGCTCCGCGCCACCTATGCGAATGATGCGCCGAAAGTAAGCTGCCAAAACTAGCCTGCACGGCATGCTCTGCTGTTTTCGTCTGGCTACCGAGAGCCGCTCCGCTGCGGGAAGGCGAGCGATTTCACTCACACAGAAACTAGCACAAATCAGCGGCATGCCCTAACAGGTCAGGCAACTCGAGTTTCATCAACAGAAAGAACACAGGAGGTAATGCTGCCACTCACCGAAAGTCAGCCAAGGTCATGACTCTATCCAGCCTCTGATCGTGACCTAGGCTATGGACAGAAGTGTAATCCCGACCCACAGTCCAATTGCATACATCATATCACTGGACTCACCCACGTCAAATGGACCGGAGCCATCTGGGTAGGTAATGGTCACAACCTGAATGACACTGGCTTTTGACCCGATTCTGCTGCCTAACAGCCTGAACCTCGCCTGGCCTCGCCAATGATCTCAGACCGGAAAAAGGTCGCACGATCCGCCCTCGGGTGATGCGCGGACACGTAACCGCTAGAACAAACGGTCCAAATCGCATAAATTCTGCGTGCTGACCAGATGCAATTGCAGCAATGGACAAGGGTTGGAGTCAGACCCCATTCACTCCCCGCTTCACCAATTACACACAAACGAGGATGCCAAGCTCATCGAACAGAACCCGAAGAAGCCAATTCACACAAGTGTTTGCGATTCGCGAGCTGATCAGTTGCTGAGCAGACGACACAGGTTGTTCAGGGGCAGCAGAGTATTTCTGCATGACCTGCTCCAGAAGTGATCTCGGCGCTATCTAAACCTTGGAAAATTATACAGGTGCAGGTCAGGACCGCGACAACTTCCAAAGGGCCTGGTAAGCAACCAGATGCGAATTGTCGGCCGGACCGACATATTCCCAAACGAGCCCAATCATAACGAAGCCTTGCACGCGATACCTGCGACGCCGCATGCGCTAATCTTTGCTAACCCCAGCACGAAAACTCGCAGAAGGTTTGAGGGTAACACCACCTTGTGGCCGCCTCGTTCAAATCTATCACCTGGCAGCTGCAACAAGCATTTCCCAAAGTCATAGAATTGTGAAAGCCCAAAAAATCCCGAAAGCTGCGAATCATGCATCTTGACGGAAGCTGAGTGCTCTGCGCTGAGACGAATGTTGTGGCACTGCTGGCCTTTAACGGCCTGCAACAGGGCAAGGACACTGCTGGGGTGTCAGACGAGACAGAAACGGGATGACAGATAGACTCATCTCTCAGAACACAGCATACATGCATGCAGTGCACATAACAGAGCATATGCATTAAACATATACAAACTATTACACATTAGTCCACATACATGCTTAGAAGATGCATGTAGGGTCTGCACCGTATGTTTGATAATGCATCCATGCGCAAAGCACCCATGTTCGCGAACGAAAACTGCTTCACATCCCAATAAATCAGCAAAACACACAATCATGCCGTTGATCTGCACTATGCAACAGGGCTCGGAAGTATATACTAGGCAGTCTCTGAGATCATGCTCGTTCACATACAAGCAAACCGGCAAGCCCCTGCCAATCATATGTGCCCGTCTGCTTTAGCAGCAAGGCACTCGGGAGTGCCGAATAAAACGAGCTCATTGCAACTGCAAGCCAATAAGAGCAACCGGCCACGACCTCGCCACGGTTTATGAACAGGATGACAGGGACTGCCAAAGCTTGAGACTAAGGCCAGAACACCAGAAAAGAGCACGGGGGAGCGTTTTACACAGCTTCAAGTCAAAGCTCTGCCTGCATCATGCCGTCCAGCAATAGCTTGCCCAACCCACGCTTGCGCAACTCCGGTTCAACAAAAATCTGCTTGACCTTCACCGAAATTCTGCCAGCACACAACATGATCTGTGACACCGAATGTGATTCACATCTGCTGTGACCTCGACGTACGCCGACGCCACGGCATCTTTCCTGACGACAACTGCTTGCCAGCTGACCATGTAGAAACCATGGTTCGTGGTTTGCGGCTACACACAGGTATGGAATCAGAAGCACCGGTACTCAGCCAGTCCTCTTCCCCTTGTGGACTTGGTACATGACATATCCTGCCTGTGCAAAACTTACACGGTTCTCTTCTGCCGCTGCCTAAGTCTGGAACGCTTTGTGACTCTCCGCCCTAGGCCATGCCTCATGTCCGTCCTCCCTCGCAAGCAGAATGTAGAGGTCACGGTAGTAGCGGTGCTCCTGGGCAAGACTTAAGTCGAGTGCCGGAATTGCATAAAAAGCTCGACAAGTCCTGCTTGACAATGCTCACAACTTGCTGCCGTCGACCTCGCAGTCATGCCGCAAAGGTCCATGTAGCAGATCCACACTTACCTTTGGCCAGAAGACTGGGCAAGAGATAAGCTTGGCAGAAAGGTTTTCAGGTAGCCGGTGTCGTGCTCAAAGGGCGGGCTCTAGGCACCGCATTCAGCTGCACTCTTTAAATAGCTTGTCCGAGTCCGCCCCATTTCAATGTCAGCAACCGAATAGTCAGTGCACGCTGGAGGCTGACCTCTGCTCCGACTTCATGTCGAAGTTTATCAGAGTTTAACAGAAGTTACATACCTTTCTCGTTTGGGGAAGCAGCTGTTGGTGGTGGAGGCCCTTTCCTGCGAACTCTCGCCATCTCCAGCCTTCTGCCTCTGTACTGTCATGTTGGGAGTCGGCACTGTGGCTGCTGCGCTGCAGATATGTTGGGAGTCAAGGCGCCTCCAGGCTTCTCCAGGATTTCCCTGGGGCAAACCAAGCCTGAAACGCCAATGCGTGAAGCAAAATGCGAAGCGGAACGCAGAAATGAAGGCCCGGCTGTGCTGCCAGTCCAGGAGTGACACCTTTCTGGCAGCAACGCAGAGTCAAGGGTACTTACTCCTGTCGAGCCTCCTCGTATACCATGCTTGTCATCGAGTGGTGCTCAAGCACGAAACCGTCCTGCACACTGGATACCCAGTCCACGTAACCCAAAATAGGCACGGAACAGAACAGGCAGCAGCAAGCTCATTAAATGGCTTGGGACCCTTCTTTTGGACAGCCATGCCAAAGTGCATACCGTGCTGCATACTCTTGTCACGGGTGCTGCTTGGAACCATGTGATGTAGGAGTTTGTTCACTAGTCTCCCCTGACTAATAATAGCCCAACATATACACTCGCCCTTCTTAAACTCACCAACATGAACCCTACACTGCCCTAAACCATTATCACCAACAAACGGGATCATGCACTTGAGCCTCCCGATGCATCGAGGAGCCCTGCGTGGTACTGAATAAAGGTAAACAAAGACTTCGGCAGTCTTACAAGCATATTAACCTTGAAGACAATGTCTGTGGACTCTGGATTCTGACTGATTCCAAACTTGCACCGACTATCTGACTTGTGTCCTACATGCCTTCTGCAAATTGGTGCATGTTCAAAACCAATACTGAAGGTTTTCAGCACAGCCTGGCTGCGGCACCACCTGACTTTGCATGAATCAGGCGATCCGTCCCATCTTGTCAGGACCACTAATAGAGAAATTGCGCAAGTCCTTTAAGTTGAGCAAACCAAGCACTTCAGCAATGGCAATGTCGGAAGCACCTCAAAGGCAGCAAATGTCCTGCAGCGACATGAAGACCTCCACATCCTCGAGATCGATGCGCCGGACCTGCTCCTGAGCCAACGCCAGCGCCGCGCCGTGCCACGCACGAAGCTATGAGGCATTCATGCTCAGCCTACGACTGGCCCGGGCCCCATGTGTGAGCTCGGCCTGGTGAACTGTGGTTGTGTGAGACAGCCGTGTCTCGCAGAATGCAGACCGCCTCCATCACTCTTTTGCATGTCGGATATGCGACATATACAAACTCATCCTCGTATGAGGCTTGTGTGTTCCTAATGATGAGTGCCGCGTGCCTTTCAGAGCATGAGAAGAAGTCACTAGCCTTCACGCAGTCGACGTTTGACCATGATGGCAGAAGACAGTGGTGCTTCTGCTAACAAACTGACTGGAGCCTCAAACGGCCTGCTGTAAAACAGACATGTCCTTACAACTGCAATCTATCTTCTGAAAAAGCAAGTCAGCAAGAAGCCTTCCAATCTTGCATCTTCACCACTTATTAATGGTAGCACTTGTCCCAGAGGATTGGTAATTGCCCTGCCGGGGTGCATAAACAGTGAGACGCGATGAGACATCTTGAGACACATCCGTACGAAGTGGCATACTCGCCCACTTCTACGGTCAGTCGACTAGTTGGAGATGAAACCGCAACACAAGGGTAAGCAAGGTCTGACTGTCTGACTGTGACTGAGTTACGAAGACATGGTGGCTCACATGGCCCTCACTCAATCATCCCAGGCAAGCGCGCTCCGCATGCCTGTCACGGTTGAAAGCCTGCTGAGCAAAACACCATTTTTTCAGCAACGTAATCCAAAGCCGCCTGCTGGCCCGTCGCCTTTGCCCATGAAGGCACCACCTTTCGCATATCCCTTCTTCCCCTTTCCTGCTCAGGCTCACTTCACAGACACCGGCAACACTCCTGAACAGCTCCGACTCGCCCAAAGCTACGCCTCCTTTTCCAGGTCGCGTCCAGTCTGCCCATCCTGCCTAGCCCGGACAACGAAGATTGACCGGTTGCTGCGCTGATCCCACTGCTTGCAGCAAGTTGTGCAACACATCTGGATCTGTCGATTTCCAAACCCCTGGTCAAAAGCGACCGGACCGCATCAAAACATCATCTTGGTTAAAGCTGAGCCTGCAAACACATGCGTGGATATAACACTTGCAAGCAGAACAGAGCCTGCCTCCTGTCCGGCGAACTGCATCATTAACCATGGATCATTTCGCATTAGCTGACCCTTTTGTCGCATCTCGCGCAGCCTTGGATTGCTGAATCTGTATCGGCTCAGTATTAATTAGCAGGTTTGCGTCATCAGCTCCTCTACACTCACTCAGTACATCAATGTCATGATAGCACTGTATAGCACTTTCAAGACAGCGACTCATCGCGCCAGAAGTCGTCATCGACTTTTCTTGCTGATGTGGACATCATGTCGCCACTTTTGACGGTTACCTCCGAGAGGCCGGCACACACGGAAAGCAGACTCTGGTAATGTCTTGCGCCGTGCTTGGCCTTCAGCTCCTGTCCCAAAAGCCATCGACCGTGGAACATCTCCGCGGCATCGAAGGCGACTCCCTGGCGATCTTGTGTTGGTATATCCCAAGCAGGGGCTTACAGAGAAGCCGCTTGGCTTTCGTTTGCTTTCCTCGCCTGCGTTGGTGTGAGCCGCACGAGCGAGCGTCCAAACAGCTAGTTTTCAATCGGGCATAAGGTCTTCTGTCTTGCGCACATAGACGCACACACACACACACACACACACACGCTTAGGCTTGGCGAGAACTGATGAGGCGAACCTCGAGCATCCNNCAGATTACAGCAACCGTACAGAATCATTGAGGCCAATGACAGAAACAACAGCGTTTTTGGTGTACTTTGGGCTGGCCTTCTTTTGCAGGTACAGGTGGTTGATCAGACCACCCCTCGCCTGTCTTGGAATAGCTTCGTTGGCACAGGTATCCAAGACGGGCCTGTGCCCCCTGCATGTTCACTGTGATAACAAAGGCTA